GATTCAATGCCCGTCAAAATTTCACTGCCTTATTTCAAGTTATGAAAATAATGGATGTGTGAAAGAATTAAAGAAGCATGACAAATAAATAGAAAAATAAATTTTGTTGAATGCAGAATTGAAGATTTTCAAGTGACAGATTAAAATCTCCAATTTGGTCCAGTTGATTGGAAACTAATCCGGGATTGTTAGCCCTCGGGTGAAGAAGTAATGAGAGCTCTGGAGTGACAGCTGGTATCCTCCCAGCCTAACCATGGAATTAGCCACCAAACTCTAGATTAGCCAATCTTCTTTATGCACTTGAAAAAAGACAAAGAATAGAATTGCTCCTATTTGACACAAAATAATTTTTATATATTTTTAAATGATTTTAATTTCTTCACAATTCATATACTCATTGTAAAGAGGAAAATGTTTTCTTAAATTTGAACTATTCGTCACAAAAACTTTTCTTAGATTTCATAAGTTTGTTTTTGAAAGTTTAGCAATTAGTTTAATTAAACTAGTTCCTTTTATTTGCATTTTATTTAACATACACTTAATTATTTTAGATTAAAATTTCATACTTCAGTTTTATAGTTTGAATTGTGTTTTACTTTATAGTCATAAGAATTTACCTATAAGTATAAAGCATTTCCAAAGTCCCTGTGGGATTGATATCTAGGACTCTATTAGAGCCCTTTATTGCTTGAGTGATATGTATGCTTGTGTTATTATTAGGGGATTTGGCAGTTTAAAGGTTTTTAAAAGATAAAATTATTTTTATTAAAGTTATTTTTGATGGGTTTACATTGTATATTTATTATTATAACTGTTGTGTGTATTTTGCAATATTGAAAAATATTTACAAAATTAACACACAAAAATCTGCCGCATTCGGCTCCTCTTGAATTGAAGGGCAAATCTCTTGTTTTCATGTACAAAATTAATTTCTATATTTATATATTTACACACAGATTTATTAAGTAGATTTAGCACATTTGTTTAATAACATGTAGATGAAATTAAGAGTGGTTGAAGTAGATTTAGCACATTTGTTTAATAACATGTAGAAATTAAGAGTGGTTATGTGAAGTGCCGGTTGGATATCTCAAAATGTTTAGAAATGAACATGATGAACTGGAATAGAATAAGATAAAATATTCATTTTCTATTTAATCTCATATTCTCTCATATATTTATATTAAATATAACTAAATTTATAACTTGATTCACAGATTATTTGGGTACCATATTTATATGTAAATATAGTGTTATTTTATGACATGTTTCGAGAACTTAGATGTTTGGGTTGTCTATATTCCACTAATATGCTGCAAGTGTGCTGAGTGGCATCTTCTAGTTTGCATTACGTAATAGTTTTGTAGCATTCAATCTATATCGATTGAACCCATCAAACAAGATTTTGAATGAGTTGATGAGTGAGCTAAAGTAGAACTTGACTATAACAATATAACTGTAAATATATTGAGATGTGGAATAGCCATCAGGCATATATAGCACCTATAAATCCATCGCAAGGAGACGGGAAATAAGAATTGACTCACTATTTATAGTGGTATCAATGGTGGGCATCACTCTACTTAGTGAAGCCTTCTACTCAATTATCAGATACCTATTACCCACGATCACTAGGAGATATAATAGTGGTATGGATTTACAATATGTCAAAGTCAGATACCTATTACCCACGATCACTAGGAGATATAGTGGTATGGATTTACAATATGTCAAAATTACTACAAATTTATTTATTAGAATACATAATAAGAAATTAAAATTTTCAATTATATAGATGGATTACTTCATTGGTAGCAAGGGCATCGCAGAAAAGTGTAGATGTGAATGTGGCTCAAATGCTAGTCTCTCGAAATAAAGGTATGATGAGATACTGAAGCTATCACGTAGAGTGGAAGAATCAATCCATTGATCATAGTGTATTTGATTGACCAACTGAACATGTTTTTGAAGCTGGACCATCTCATAGAACAAATGTTAGACTACATGACCCTCATAGATCAACTTTTGATGCTCCACTTCGATCGTCTTCCACCGTTACTACATGATCAACAGTAGATTCTCTAAATAGATTCGTTGGCAGAACACAAAGATATTTCCTTCATGAGTCCCACGAACAATAGTATTCCGAGCCATCTGTTTATCCTGTTCAATCAATATTTGCGTGACCCTCCAACCATGCAGTAACATTGACAAATGAGGGTCAAATGTACGATTTGCAGTGAACAACTACTTCTGATGGAGATCTTTTATGTTCCTATTTCTAATATCGGCTCGAATTTCAGTATATCTCAATTTGATTGACCACCAAATCTTATGAATAAAGAAAATTAATGGATTCGCAAGCTACAAATTAAGTAACTGAAACCAATGATGTTAAAGAAGAATTTCAATAACATCAATTGCGACATCTACTACTGCGACAATGGCTCGGGCGCAATTCCACCCCGACGTAGAAAATAGTCTTTTTTTTTGTAAAAAATAAGTTACAAAAATATTTTGATATGAAATATATTTTACAAATTTTACATGGTAAAATTTATATTTTTTTAGTTAATTCATTTTGTTCAATTATATTTTTTTATTAATTATCGTCAAAATTAATTAAAAAATTTTAATATTTTAATTAATTTCAAGAATAATTAACAAATCTATTTATAATAATACTTGATATATATTAATATTCATATTATTTATAATAAAATATTTCTTATACTAAAAAATTAAAAAAAATAATATTTCAAAAAAACGCCTTTGTTGAAAAGTTTACTTTGATTGTAAATGAGCTTCTTCGAAAAATTTGGCCTCATTTTTATATAATTTATCTCTATGAAAATATTTGCATTTTATATGACAATACATGTTTTCAAAACATCGGGAAACATAACAAATGACGCTTAACTTTTCAAATGTGACAAGTGTTGAATCACAGGAAGAGCATTGTATTTAAAGTCGAAGTTTCAAGTTTTAATAATAAGGCCGGCCGGCCAATTCAGCTGATTCGACCTTCAATTGTTGGTCTAATTAATGAACAGGTGAACCAGGACTAAGTCACAAAATCTTTTCAAGTGAAAAATATTCTCAATTTTCTAATCAGCATTTGAGAGCTGCATGAGCAATTATCTATAAAATTATAAATAGTATTATTTTACAAGAATATGATGCTCTTAATTTAATGAGATTTTTCTAATCAAAGGTATTTATAATTTCTAAAATTAATTAATCAATAGAGTAATATAAATAGAATAGATCTGAATATGTTACATCGCCATCTATGCTTGTTAATAGTCTTATACATACACGCATACATACATACATATATGTAGTATAAATGCTGATTAAAATAAATTATCATAAACTTTTAAGCCAGCAATTAATTATTCATTTATAAGAATTTACCAAACTAATAATTTATTGAGCAAAACTAATTAAAATTTATTTATTAGACTGATTATTAGTCAATTAAAAATAATTAAATGTTAACATATAATTTATTTTTTATTAATTATAATTAACATGATAATATATTGATTAATTATTATTTTTAATTATATAAATTAATTAAATTAAATTAAAAATTGTTTTAAATCCCGATTTTTATTTTCACAGTTTTCTTCACCTCACCGCCAAAAGCGGTCTTTCTCTCCCTTCCTCCCTTCAGCTTCTGTAAAGCCAACTTCCCAGCATGAAATATTGTATCCGGAAATTAAGGCCCTGGTTGCTTTTTTCTCTTTTGGTCACATAATTATCTTATGTTATTTTTATTTCATAATTTAAATCACATTAAATAATTATAATAAATATTATCATTCGCAACAACTCTGATTGAACACTTGGGTCTTGAATGTTGTCTCATTCTTCCGATTCAATGCCCGTCAAAATTTCACAGCCTTATTTTAAGTCTTGAAACTAATGGATGTGTTAAAGAATTAAAGAAGCACGACAAATAAATGCTGTCATGACTACGAAGCAAGAACAATGACAACTAATTGCGGCAGGTGAAGCAAGTTATTGTTAACTCTGAAATAAAAGGCAACAACAATAAGAAGAGCAAAAATAAACAAAAATGTATCATCTTCCACTCCTGTTCTTCTTTCTTTCCGACACCATTTTTTGGGTGAATTACATGACCCTTAAAACATTAGTTATTACAAAACTGGTGAATTTCCAAGAGATTACATGACTCTTAAGACAATAATATTCACAAAACTAGTAAACAAAACACCAAGCTGATTTTTTGGCTAATACTTTTATGTCTCAAAACGACTCGTTGTTTATGAGCAGCTCGTGTTCAGCTTGTTAAAAAACTCCGGTTCTATTTTGTTCGCTAAGTTAACAAGCCAAACAAGAACACTTTTTTGTGTTCGATATATAAATGAGCCGAACATGAATAAAAATTTGTTCGTTCGTGTTCGACTCGTTTTAGCTAAAAATACT